ACGGGAGTTGGCGGGAAAAAACATTTGTATGAAAAATCTAAACCGCTTAAGTTAGACGCTTGAAATTTGGCATGCAGGTACCTTAGTAAACTTAAAGCTTAGTTACAACAGGATATTGCAAAATTCCCACGGGAACGGGAGTTAGCGGGAAAAAACTTTTGTATGAAAAAATCTAAACCGCGTAAGATAGACTCTTGAAATTTGACATGCAGGTACCTTAGTAAACTTAAAGCTTAATTACAACAGGATATTGCAAAATTCCCACGGGAACGGGAGTTAGCGGGAAAAAACATTTGTATAAAAAAATCTAAACCGCGTAAGATAGACGCTTGAAATTTGGCATGCAGGTACCTTAGTAAACTTAAAGCTTAGTTACAACAGGATATTGCAAAATTCCCACGGGAAGGGCAATTAGCGGGCAAAAAAAATTGTATGAAAAAATCTGAACCGCGTAAGATAGATGAAGGGGGGGTAAAACGAGATCCACGCGTACGAAGTCGCGGGCGGCCGCTAGTTCTAATAATAAAATTAGCAGTAATAATCTTGGCAGGCATAGATATTAAATGCTAATAATTGTCACAATATCTCATAACAAACATAAAGTTTGAATTTTATTGTTGCGAATGGATGCGGCGCTATCTCTACATAATGATAAAAACGAGAACAGGATTTCTAGATTATTTTGTGCCTTAAAAGGCTTTGTGGTTGTAAAATCTCTGATAATTAGCGAAGCAATATTGATAAGTACATCACACTGATATTAGTATGCAAGGTATGGATAAAGTAGTTTGGTTGTCCCCCGTGCCATGTGGCAGTGAAGGGTTAAAGGCCAGCCGCACACGGATGGACTCATAATCCCCTCGCAGACGCGCGGCTTCCCGGAACGTGAACCCGACTATCCTGTTACACACTGACAGGGTTGATAAACTATGAATTTGGTAGTTGACTGACACCATTGACCAACAATTTCAAGACACAACTTCTATTTCAAAAATCTTGTTTCTGGCCATGAAAACGCAATTAAGTTTTCAGAACATTACCTTACTTTAGTATGGTGTGTAATCAATGGAAATTAGTTGAGTTTGCGAACGTAGTGGAACCCTTTGCAATAACAAATCTACGGAGAGTTCACGAGTCCATAATGTGACGTCAACTATAATGTTGTTTGCGACGAAAAGGTCTACTAGGCAAGTTGATGTCAGAGACCATAGGTGATAGAGAAGAAAATTAACAATATTGTAACCATACATGCATAAAAAATTGGCATTTCAGCCTGAAATTCTGAAAACTCCCTATTGCTACATCATACCAAATTCACAACTATTTCCTACTCAATTATATTGTAACAAGATAAAATTACAATACCTTTACACAGCCCTAAGTACCCTCGTCATGTCTGAGCCCTAATAATCCTATTAGGTACGACAAAAGGGAATGCACAGCGTTGCAATATTCACGACTCTATTATTATTGAAAGTATCGAGTAGCGTAAACAAGACTACTTGAAACCCTTCTTTGTAACATTAAGCAAAGCCGGCGAAGGTAGCTCCACTTACTTGCGAAGGCTTTCCCAATTACTTCCTACAAACAAAAGGAAAACACTTAGAGATTTAATGACGTTAGCGTCAAAATATTGTTTCTAACAATCATTTTTATTGCAGGCAGAGATTTTTATCGATTTAAGCTTGAAAAGACGAATCAGAGAAAACGTTTTTTCACCACTCCCAATGTAAGTTATGTTGTTTCCAAGTTACATACGAGATATGAATTAAAAAAATATTTATTGCAGTTGATAGAGCAGGCAACAACGTCATTGCATCATTGCAACCACTGAAAGTGAAAAACCATTTCTGAAAATAGTCCCCATAAAAACACGAGACGTCCAAAAGTCATAAACCACAAAACAAGTGTGTTAGTTGGTAATTGTTGAATGTTGCCTAGGATATGTACCACAGGAATAACCTATGGGAATAACATAAACATTGTCAACCCAAAGAGAAAGGTCACTCAGCGAATCAACAAAATTATTGTGTTACAATCGAAAGGATACAATAAATTCTATTGTTCTATACCGTTGTTCCTTGCAATCGCACGTGAATTAGCGCAGCGAATTATCAAAGAAAATTGTCCGACCGATACAATGCTATGTCGAAATCGTAATAACTACCCGAAACACCTGGTATCATGGTACCCCTCTAAAAGGCACGACAATGTCCACTTACAACCTTTAGTTTGGACTGAAACCTTTTGTGTATCTTCAAGGTGGGGAAACTTGGCCGCTTATAATTCATACGTTTGACAAAACGGTTCACAATAATTCCTAAATTGGGCAAATGAACGACTCAAACATAAACAAGAACGTTGTCTTCCTTTATTGGGACACTCAAGGCAAATGCGCCCGCGCCGCCTACGTCTAGACTCGCATAAATCTGGACCAACCTACACCTTCAATTAGAATAAGCACAGCATGACAGTACGATGCATAAATACGTATCCGATTTTCTGACTAGGACTGCACTAAATGATTTGACATTTTATACATGTTCTCACTTGGGATTCAAACCTATTACCATCTAATCAAAACTAGAACTCTCCTCTCTGGATCACAGAAACGTCATTATGTAATTAATCTAGAAACGACCACACAATTCGCAAACTGACTGTATCTTAAAACATGCAAAAACAGGCTCAGAATACACTAACACTAGCACAACACAGATTGCCATTATTTGAACACCTACCAGATTAATATTCCCCAATAAACAGCCCAATAAACGTTCATATAATATAAGGTCGTAGTGTCAATTTTCTGTTTGATAATAACTTTTATGACAGCATCTCAAGTCCCTTGCACTCAGGAATATATCCATAAAGGGAATAATTTCCATATTTATGTTACAATAACATTGACTGTTGTGGTGGCAACTTATTTATCCACTATTTTATCCATTCCTGTAAGCGTCGTAACGGAAAATCAAATTATGGTTTCCAGGTGTACCTAATCGTAAACTGGCCGATGGGCACATAATGTAGGAAGTGAGAGTCATACGAGTTAGTAATGTAGGTACCTACCTATAAATTACCAAGGTACACTGGTTCGATTAATATGGACTGACGGTTTTATTAAACAGTTACAATGGCAAAGAATCGCGAAGTCAGCTACCTACTACGTATTCCAAATCGTCAGGTTTCGAGGCATTTTACGTCACACAGCCGCATACCTCAATGTGATTTATCAATAGACACTTTTTAAACTATTTCATAGTGCAGTATTTAGGGCACACAAAAATCTTATTATAGAAGTTATTTTAAGACTTCCGCGTTGACAACTCTCTCACAAACCATAAGTTAAAAAACTGCTTGGTCTAATTTACGACACGATGATCTTTTCCGACTTTTATTACGTAACTATTTTTAAGCTTTTGGAATTCTTGGAGATGTAGCTTTGTATTATTAAGAGTTATTATTACTTATTAACGAAGCCCCTTATGGTATACTCGGACACCTTTATGTCGTTGTTGTCCCAACGGTTTGTGGTAGATAAAGGTCCACAGGCGCTAACTTAAAACTCTTATAAATTTGCTATCTTTAGGACTTAGGTAACTTTGGATCCAGTTCATGCCTCGTATGTTTTTAGGGCTAAAGGATGTCCTGTACTTACTTTACAGATACCTACCAAAATAAGTAAAGAGGCATATAAATCTAGTTTAAGTGGTGGCATAGGGTGGTGGCTAAGTGTGGGGGCTTAGGGTGGGGGTTAAAGAAAGTATTGACTGACTTACGTACTTTGTGATAGAGCTCTTCGAATCCTCCGGCAACCCCACGAAAATGAGCGTGGATGACATTGGTCTTCACTTCACAACACAAGGACAAGGTACTGCAAATTTTGAGGGTCTAGGGTCCATAAAAACCGTTCAAGCAAACGGTCGCATAGCACTTCAAAAGTTCAAACAATATGTTTTGATGTGTGTCAAAATGGTGCTGTCTTTATGAATTTGATTTGCGTGCCAGTACGTCGGTTCTATATGGCAAACTGGCGGAGTCCATTTCTGTTTATGACAAAGAAGGCGTGGGTGAATTATTGTAGGTGTTCAGCAAGTCGGCCTCCGCCAGCAATTAGAATAAATAATCTGGATTTATCATTTCCTCGTACCCAGAATAGTGAGACGGGTGACAGAATTCACTCGTATTTAGTTAGTAAGTATCTACCTAAATAACTGCGTGTTTGTACTTTGTAGTACCTACATCACAGCGGAAATACAAATACTTATAAAACACTATACAATGTATGTATAGTATACATAACCAGTTTAGATAGCGAGTCTACATTTAAAACAAGACTTCATGAAACCTTTTTGGAATCAACAAAACAAGAATGTGGAATAAAAGCCAACAGTGCCTTGAGCACGAATAAATATCGTTCTCGTTATGATAATAATTATGGTAGTCATAATAACTTCGATTTCCAGGCAGGAAAGACAAAATTAACCTCTGGATAATTTATACCATTCCCGTAATTCATGGGCATACCCAGCTTGCACCAGGAAGGGCAACAAATCTGATTTTTTAAGATAGCAAGTTTCCAATGACATAGGTCCAAGGGGAGGGCTCTTCAATGAGGACTAGCTATTGTATTTACCCTAACCAGCACCACTGTAATCATTATAATTATTAACATACGTGCGTAATTAATTAACATTAATAATTTTTGCGTACAATTAATTTCTCAAGACCTTCGAGCACCGCAGAGCAGAGTGGCCATAATAACTCTCTCTTTTGGCAAATAACAAAAACACGCGCGTCTAATACCGTTACTAAAATAACGTTATTTTTGTCTTTGGTCTTAAAGCTGTCATAATTTACTTATCTTTAGTCTATGGTTATGATGCTTGACGGTTGTTGAGCAGTGAACTTGTTATTGGCTTCGAAAGTAAAATATTCTTCATTTTTGAGTGGTTCGATATCAAAAACTATGTTGTAACTTCAACTATGTTGAGCCAAACTTCTACCGAAGCGTTGCTTTCAGCAACATACGTTGAAAATTACTTGGACTGTGTAGAAAATCTTCCAAACGACCTACAACGACATTTATCTCGACTACGAGAGCTTGACGTAACATACAGAGGTAATTTTTATGATTTTAATTGTTCTTTTAGTTGGCTTTCGTTTCACATCTAGTTTATCGCCGTACAAATAGAATATAATTCATCCAACAGTCCCGAAATAAGTGTGTTGACGTTTGTCACTCGCTTCATTATGCATGCCTGCATAGTAACATAGATCTATATTTACGGGCCTATTCTGTCTTTTTGTTGCTTACCAAACATTATTTTCTTCATTTCATATCGTAAGTAAAGCCAAGCTACACACAATTTGAGTTATTTTATTAAAAAAAAACTCATTTCGGTTTGTGTCATTAGCTGACATAATTTCGATTAGGTGGCAATTTTTTTAACCATTTCGTGTTGGTTTAAGCCTAAAACATCTCTATTTGAGTGCCCCAAATCTGAATAAACACTACTATAACCCATGCATAGGTGTGATACTTATACAAACAATTTAATGCCACACAACTTATACATTAGTTATTTTAGATGAAACATATGTGTAACACCCACATATTAAGTGCATTAGGAAACCTACTAGATTAAAAACAAGCATTTTTATAGGTTGTATTTAAATATAACCTCAATTTACTCTTATCGATATACCTACATAAAATCATATTGCAGTGTTCCTAATGGCTGAACATATTGTCAAATCACTAATTGCTTATTAGCAAACAAAGTGATTAATAAAATTCGAAGTCTTTCAATATATTTTATTATATTTTTAATTTTTCATACAGAATGTCTTCGTGATGCTGAAACACACCTTGCTGTTTGCATTGGGCCGAACACAGAGGAGAAGCGTAGGAGCAGAGCTGCATTACGCTTGCAAGCCGCTTTAGTGGCTGCTCAGGAGATCGGGGACGAGAAACTACAAGTTGTACAGCTGACGCAGGACCTTATTGACAACAAGCAAAGATCCTTGGATGCTGACCATAAGAAACTTAGTGAGTACAACATTTACTTTAAATTACCACCATTTGTAGAGCTGCTACAACATTTTATGATTGTAATGTACTTTATTTATTTCATACTTGTGACATCCTATTTACATTCAGTAATTTGTCCGTCATTGTGAAATTGATTAACCACAACTGTTTAGTATGCTTAGTGGAATTTTGAGAGCACAGATAACCAAAATCAAGCTAAACACTGGCATCTTACAAAATTGTAATAGGTGCTCTTTTGCAACAAAAATGTACTATAATCAGTGTGCAGTTGACTTACAAAATAAAGATTGGTGTGTTCACTCAAAATCTATTTTCCAGTCTCATGCCTGGACGTGAACACGAACGGCACAGCTAAAGAGGAGGCGGCTCCGCCGGCGGAGCCAGCCCGAGAGAAGGAGAGCGCGGCGCCCGCGGCGCAGCACGTGCCGCCGCCGCCGCCGCCCGAGCGGGCCAGCGACAAGGACAAGGAGAAGCCCGACAAGGACAAGGCGGGAGGTCAGTCTTTACTAGCAACTAGCTGACCTAACTGACGTCACAGCCAGTGAGCCAGCCCGCGAGAAGGAGAGCGCGGCGCCCGCGGTGCAACACGCGCCGCCGCCGCCGCCGCCCGAGCGGGCCAGCGACAAGGACAAGGAGAAGCCCGACAAGGACAAGGCGGGAGGTCAGTCTTTACTAGCAACCAGCTGACCTAACTGACGTCACAGCCAGTGAGCCAGCCCGAGAGAAGGAACGCGCTGCCGCCGCCGCCGCCCGAGCGGGCCAGCGACAAGGACAAGGAGAAGCCCGACAAGGACAAGGCGGGAGGTCAGTCTTTACTAGCAACCAGCTGACCTAACTGACGTCACAGCCAGTGAGCCAGCCCGCGAGAAGGAGAGCGCGGCGCCCGCGGTGCAGCACGCGCCGCCGCCGCCGCCGCCCGAGCGGGCCAGCGACAAGGACAAGGAGAAGCCCGACAAGGACAAGGCGGGAGGTCAGTCTTTACTAGCAACCAGCTGACCTAACTGACGTCACAGCCAGTGAGCCAGCCCGCGAGAAGGAGAGCGCGACGCCCGCGGTGCAGCACGCGACGCCCGCGGTGCAGCACGCGCCGCCGCCGCCGCTGCCCGAGCGGGCCAGGGACAAGGCGGGAGGTCAGTCTTTACTATAGTCTTTTTCACGTAAGATGATCCGTATGACACTTCAAGGTTATCCATATTACGCATACTACATATGCAGAATATTTTTGAAAAAATATTTGTATTTTATTAGCAATATAATAAAAAAAAAATTAACTACTTGTCTTGAAATATATAGTAAAATCTGAGTCTATTGATTATATTTTAATTAAATACGATGTAAAAATATTTTTTATTTAATGTACGCAATGTGTGAAACGGAATAGATTTAGTGATGGGGTATTTCTTGTATAATAAAATCGATTATTTCCGCGGTTCATTAATCGATTGCAGTGAATACTTAGTTATTAAAAACATCACAAAAATAAACTGTATTTTTAGATTATTGACTTTAATAAACGCATTGAAAATAAATTAATAGTTTTTAATTTAAAGAAACAGAACCAGTACTTTTTAGGAATCGTTTTTTTGAACACGAACCATGAAATTTGAATATTATAAATAAAAAATTGTTACAATAATATTTGTAATTAAAAAAAAACATGTTTTTTGTTAAATATCACCTATACAAAGTATTTCTCTAAAAGTAGGTTTTACTAACTCTTCGAAAAAAATCGATTGATAAATCGCCATGGTTTAGTTATGTGACATCTCTAAATCTTTCAAACTCGAAACGTCATACGGATCATCTTAGGTGAAAAAGACTATAGCAACCAGCTGACCTAACTGACGTCACAGCCAGTGAGCCATCCCGCGAGAAGGAGAGCGTGGCGCCCGCGGTGCAACTACTTACTTAATTACTTTACTAGCAACTAGCCGACCCAACACAACCGCGTCAACGTTAATCATTATTTCAGCGACTGCTGAACAAAGGCCTCCCAAAATGATATCCTGCATCCGGCGCCTTCATGCTACCTTTATGAGGCTATTTAACAACCTTCTGATGGCATAATGTCATTTAAAATTATAGCTTACTAAACAACAACCAAGGAGAGTCCCAGTGAAGATTCTGCTCTCATCACCTAAAATCAAAATTTTAAGCATTTTGCATAATTATGTTTCTCCATACTGAACCACTTGTAACTTTTCACAGGGGAGCGATGGTCAAAGCGTCCGCGGCGGTCTCGCACGACGGCAGGCGCGGCCACTGACGGCGCCGACTCTAGTGAGCGGGATAGCGAGCGACACACGCACAACACTACCCACAAGAAAGGTAAACATATACATAACACATGTAAAAAATGTAAAAATCAATTCTGCCCCTTTTGCTCCTTGCCACTAGGCTGGTACAGACTTGGTGACGTTTACCATCGGTGGTCAATCGCATGTTAGGTGGAAATTGACCACTGAGGTATTTAGTGTCATCCACCGCCCAGTGACAGGCCCTAACTTAGCGTCAAATGTCGAAATGTCTACTCTCTTTCATTTTCACCAAGTCAAATTAACAAGTATTCTTTTATACCAACGTTTATCTCATCATTGTGTATAAGTCCATGCGTAATTACGCGTTTTCGTATGCGTAATTACGATCATTTTAATTACGCATAGTTGCATAATTTAAAAACGTGTTTTTACAAATCATTTGTACATTAAATTAATGACTTACTGGACTTATGGTCCTATGTCCCCTAGATGGGGCAGAGGGCGTCCACAACAGTCCTCCATCTCGTTCGGTCTTGAGCTTCTCGCTTGATCTCGCTCCAGGTCTTGCCGATCTTCTTCGCCTCGTCCGCTACAGTGCGCCGCCAAGTTTGCCTGGGTCGACCACGTTTGCGTTTTCCTTGGGGATTCCAATCCAGAGCCTGCTTAGGGATGTGATCGGGGTCCCTTCGGAGAGTGTGGCCAATCCAGTTCCACTTGCGGCGCTTGATCTGCTGGTCGATCGGAATTTCGTGGCAGCGTTCCAATAGCTCGACGTTGAAGATTTTCTCGGGCCAGGCCACATTAAATTAATACTCATTACTAATTTCAGGTATCGGCAAAAAGAAAAAGCGCAAAGCGCGGCAAGCGACGCAGCGCTCGGAGACGCCGCCCGGCGACACGGACCCCATAGACCCGGACGAGCCGCGCTACTGCCTGTGCGACCAGATCTCCTTCGGCGAGATGATCCTCTGCGACAACGACCTCTGCCCCATCGAGTGGTTCCACTTCTCCTGCGTGTCCCTCACCACCAAGCCCAAGGGCAAGTGGTTTTGCCCCAAGTGCCGCGGCGACCGCCCCAATGTGATGAAACCCAAAGGACAATTCCTAAAGGAACTAGAACGGTATAACAGGGAAAAGGAGGAGAAAGCATAGTGATTACTCAAACGCTAGGTTAAGGCGTCCATGGATCTTTAATGAGAGTGATGTGCCTTACTAATGTATGGCGACCGCTGAAAACGCAATAACTGAATTACCAGTGATTCCAAATTTGATGTAAAATATTTGTTCGAGTCTACGTGTGATGCCCCAAAGGCACGATCAGCTCATTTTCGGTCCATACTGTTTAGACGGATCGTCCGCCTAAAACACTTATCAAGATATTTGAAATGTGATTTCGATTTTATGTAAATGATTCCGATTTTTAATGTATGATGAAGATAGAAGTCTTAATAATTATATAAATGCTTGATTGTTCAGAAGAATCTCTTTAAGTTGAAATAATAATAGAAAGTGAAGATTATTCCATGTAATTTATTTTGTATCTCAGAAGAATTTGCTACTATTAGATAACAAAGCTATAATACTAACTTACTGACCTCGAAATCAGTCATTTGTATTATGTAGGTGTATTGGAAAAACTTACAATAAACTTTTTATTAACTGTAAGATAAAATATTATGCATAATGGAAATGGTACAGCATTTAATCATCTTTCAATAGAAAACTTGAAAAGTTTTTACATAGTTTTATTTCAATCACGCATGACCTTTCCACTAAGTGACTGTTAATAATATTTAAATGTGCTTCAATACGTGGATTCAGTATTGATTGTAATATATTTTTTGTCGTGATGAAACATTTATATTTATTACTGCGTTGTGATTTAGCGCGATACATATTCGACAGCTATTGTAAAAGTATCAACTTTATCATAGTTGTTGCCAAGATGGATATATTTGAAATAAATATAAAAGTTTTAGGAAAATTCTGTTGTTTTATTGCGATCATAAAACATAGTACCTATAATAAATAATCAACACGATAATCTCGCCCTAACGAACGACAAACTACGCTGGATATATCTACATCCAACATTACTCCTTAATTCAAGTAGGGATACTGTTGTCTATTCCATTCCCACTAGTTCTATCGAACACCAACCTCCATAAGATCTACCGTGGAATCTTTTTTTTTCCTGTTGATACATTCCAGAATATAATAATTTGTGTATGTTTCCATGTACCTCTCAAAAGCTGCTGAATCATAAATTATGATCATTGGTTTCCAGCGACAACTACAATACCACATAAGTATTTGGGTATGAAAATAAACTACTTTTATCAATTTAGTACAATTTTATTCAATACATGAATTACAATTTTCTACTTAGTATAATTATCAGTAACCATGCACTGTCATGCACAGCAATAATAATGTCCCTACAAACGTGTATAAATATCTATAATTCGAGTCTAATACATTACATCCTATTATGCTGAATACAATTTTTAATTCTGAATATCATTAACCTCATAAATGCCGTGTTCATTGTTAAAAATGTTTAAAAGTTGGTTTATAATATATTGCAATGGCTTATATTTTCGACTAGATTATTATTATCAATATAATTATTTCTATATTGCAATAGTTAAACAGTACGTCTCAAAAGACCCTTCTAATAAAATTGTTCCATACACAGTTCAGAGATACTAAAGATAAAATTCAATGCTACCATTTTCTACTAAAAATATTCTTAAAAAGATATTAATTGGTAAAAGATTTTTAAAATCTATTTTTATTTAATGTACTAAGTAGAGGTGAATATCTCGGCTACAAATTATGTATAATACATACATAATATTCATTCGGCGACTGTTCACTATCTCTAAAACTAAAATGCGGTAACTCTACTGAATGATGAATGAAGAAATACATTCATTGCGCTTCGTAGTAAAACCCAGCCAGAAAGTATTTTCATCCATCACTAAATATCGCGAAAACATGGCACTGCCCTTATATTATTCAAACGAAAGTTTTACATACTTCCGAAGATAGAGAGAGATAAACTGGCATTTAGTTAGAGATAGTAGACATCGTGTTAAAGGGATGTTTCATTACGAACCTGCCGTTGGTCAGGTAATTAGGAGTCTATTTTCGGACAACCAGTGTAAAGTGGAAAGAGTAAACCGTAGAGTGACCTATCTTCAGTAGGTACATAAGTACTTCAGATATAATCATTCTACAATAGCAATGTGATTATTATGTTAAAAATATATTTAAATAATAAAAGCACACAATTTAATACTCAAATAAAACCAGGGGTGGAATTGTGTAAAGCAATCGTAATCATTTGACAGTTCATAACGTACGATAAAGTCAGTTAAACAAAGCGTTTGACAGAACAATCGTACGTTATGAACTGTCAAATGATTACGATTGCTTTACACAATTCCACCTCAGTAAATTATTCAAACTTACCTAACATTTTCAAATGCGTAGAGTATATAGGGCAAGATAATAATACTTTTACTATTAGGCAAAAATATTCAAACATAATATCTATAAACTTACAACTATAAAATAGCTAAATAATGCACACATTCATTTTGTGACAATAGAATTCAATATGACACTAATTTGAACACAAATAATAATAAAATAAATGTAGGTACAAACTGAAATATTTTAGGTATAACTAGTAAGAACATACTGTTGTATAGGTATCCTATAATTTGATTAAATTTATGTCTCATAAATTCATACGCGCCTTAAATACTGTTATGCCGACTGATGTTTTAACATTGTTTGGAGTGACAGACATTTGTTACCTGGTAGGCAGTAAGTAGTTTTAAAGTTACCTATATGCACTTGCCTATGTGCACCTCTTATTTATATTTGTGAATTACATTAGACCAACTATTCCATAGAGATCCAAATATTAAAATGCACTAAATGTAAATCAGATCTAGCAAGTAAATAGGGGGAACTTCATGAGTAAATTAATAAGATCTGCTGGCAAATAAAAGGATTGTGCCCTCGACACGGTCCTGGCTTGTATTTATACCCACACTCCATGTGGATTCTTGTTTGTTGGTGCTGCGTTTTCCAGTTGTCTAGGCGAGCCTATTATTCGCCGGGCACTACCAGCTTTGCACAGCCCTGTAATATCAACAAGTCATTGAAATGAAAGTATCTCGCCACACAATTTTAAAACAGTTGTTAGCTACATAAATGGAAAATGCTCAGCTTAAAATACGAAACTGTATTCAGATCACATAAAAAGCACAAAAAAGGCAAAGCAACAGAATAGTATCCAAAAACAAGATGGCTAACACCGTTGCTAGGCTGCAGTCCAAAGACCACAGCCTAGCACCGGTGTTACCAGATCTGTCGCCAACAACAGTATTTTATGTCCTTTGTTGCTATTTTGAAGAGCATTTTGAATTCTTATATTTTTTAAGTTACTAAAAAAACAACGTACTATCGGGCAGAGTTAACTATCCATTTCCGTTTTTTACTCTCGCTCTCATCAAATGGTGATTATTTGCGATAGAACGAAACGACATGAACATGACCGGCAATGGGCAGTTAACACTGTTTCCGATAGTACAAACAAAACAGTATTAAATTGCAAAGAATCTTGTATTAGTCTTGTATTAATCTCAGTATTAAATTGCATCCAGAATTATTCTTGACTTTGTAGATAGTACCATCGTCGTGTCTAGAGTGCTACATCGTGATGGAATTAAGCAATTGTTCTTCATAATCATTGTTAATTTTAATACTTGTAAATTGGTGTGATCACCAAATATTATTACCATCAAGTGGATGCCGAAGCTCGTCGACACTACCAGTCAAGCTCTGAAGATTGGCTTCTTTCATCTCTTGAACCAGTCTTTCCACTTGCCGCTTCTTTTCCATTATGGCATCTTCTAAGACACCAACCTGCAAAAAAATTTAATAACTTATAATTTTATTAAACAAAAAATTCAATAAAAAAATTATGGGACTGTACCTAATAAAGATATTATTTTATTTTTAACGAGATGCAGGCAAGTGACACACAGATCTTAAAATGCTAACAATGTGTCAGTATTCTTGGATTCTTTATAGGGCCTATCTATATCTTCTATATCTATAAAAGCGAAAGGTCAATGACTCACTCACTCACTCATCACGAAATCTCAGAAACTATAAGCGCTAGGAGTCTCAAATTTTGCATGGGGGTTCTTTTTAGAATGTAGGTGGTCACTAAGACGGACGGCCCACGGGATTTTGCAAAATTCAACCCCTAAGGGGTTAAGACGGGATATTATGTAGCTTACCTCTCGCTTGAGGTTTTCGGCAGTAAGGTGGTTAATTTCGGTGGCATGCTTCGCTTGTTGGATCTGACTCTGCAGATTCTCCATTTCGGCGAGCATTGATCTCTCCAATGCTTGTCTATGAATTTAAAACAAAAAGTTTTATTGGTGGCAAAGAAGCATAATATTATGCTTATGTATATTATACAGGTTGTTAGGTAAATTTGGTATCAAGCCGACACTAGCCTACGTTAACAAATTATGCATAATAAATAGTGTAGTGAAGTCAGAAATTTACTATGTGAAGTAACTTACCTATTTTCTTGCTGACGACTATTTATTATTCTTTGTTCATTATGAATTTCCTCCATCAACTTTCTAATCTTATTCTTACACTGTAGCAGTTCTGTTTCACAGTTGGCTAACTTAGATCTCACCAGGACTATTTCAGACTTTAGGGTCTTCTCATTTTGTTTCACAATCTCACTTTCCTCTTCAACATAAGTCAGTGCTTGAACCTAAAATAATAAAAGAGGTATTCAATGAAAATGGAATATGTGCAGTGATAAATATTTCCATGTCCAATGTGCAATTTTTATACATAATAAAAATGTTAAAAATAATAAGCATAGAATTTTTTTTTACCTGCTCAGTGCTAATGCGTAGTTGATTATCAGCTGAGCTGATCTGTTGTTGCAGGAGTTCCACTTGCCTTTCTTGTTCCCGCCCCTTGTTTTCCCAGTAACCAATCTCTGCATCATACTGAGGAAAACAAGTATAGTTTTTAAGTAACAACAATAAAACAATAAACAATAATCTTCATATCAACCTGGCTTACTATATGATAGAAGAGCCTTAGGGCCTTGCCACAATGGCCGATCGCAAGTGGTTTCAAAGCGGAGCTGCGACGCGGCGGAGACGCCCCGGTTGCGCAACGTTTCCGCCTAGAGTATTCGCCTCGTGTTCGCCGCGGATACGTGGCGTCGCCGCTCCGCTTTGAAAACGCTTGCAATCCGCCAGTATGGCAGCTCTTTTAGGTTTCAATATCTTGACAGTTTCATCTTGTAATTTTCAGGCCTACAAGGAGGATTTACACATAACTTATTACAGAGGGTTTGATATCATCCTCACCTTAATAAGATCAACCTGCTGACTGGACAGTTTCTCTCGCTGATAGTTCACCAGCGACACGAGTTCCCTATACTGGCTGTTGTAACTGACGGCCTCCGGGTTCCTGGGATCCGGCTCTTCGGGCAAGTTCACTGGAGACATGTGAGCCGAGCGATTGCCGCGCCCGCGCGTCGGCGATTTGCGTATGGCTTGAGACGGCGGCGGTGGTGATCGGTATGGAGGAGGCGGCTCTCTGGAGCAACAAAATATGGGA